AGTATATGGGGGAGACAAGATATGTAAAAGACAGCAATAAAAGGCTAGGGATTTAGTTCAGTGGTTCTGCCACCTGCCTTGTAAGCACAAGGACCCAAGTTTGATCCCTGGTACCCAAAACAAACAAACAAACAAATGAATAAATAAATAAAATAAAAATAATTTCAATAGCCAGGTGTGGTGGTACACACCTGTGACCCCAGAACTTGAGAGGCTGAGGCAGGAAGATTGCTGTGAGTTTGAGGCCAGCTTGGGGCCACAAAGTGAGACCCTGCTTCAAAAAAAAAAACAAAATGCTTTTTAAATGATACATTCTTATAATCTTAGCTACTTAGCTACTCAGGAGTTTGAGACAGAAGATAGCCAAGTTCAAGGACAGCGTGGGCAACTTAGTAAAACCCGTTCTCTAAATAAACAAATAAACAGGGCTGGAGATGTAACTCAATGGTAGGAAACCGCCGGGTTCAATGCCCCATTACCAAAAAGTAAAAAAGGAAGTTAACAAAAAATTTAAAAATCACCTTACGACAGGTCCATTTCATTCATTTACTTGCTTATTTACTTTTTTTTCCCCGGTACCGGGTATTGAACTCAGGACCTTGTGCTTGCAAAGCAGGCACTGCACCACTGAGCTAAATCTCTGGCCCTTGACAAGCACTCTTGCTGAGCTACACCCCTAGCCTCTTTCAACTTTTTTTTTTTAGGAACCAAGGATCAAACTCAGGACCTTGTGCTTTCAAGGCAGGGCCAGTGCCACTGAGCTAAATCCCTGGCCCCTGTGGAGGTGATATCTTATTGTGGTTTTGATTTGCATTTTCATGATGACTAGTGATGTTGAGCATTTTTTTCATATACCTATTGGCCATTTGTATGTACTCTTTTGAATGTTAATAGGCTCGGGGTGTAGTTCAGTGGTAGAGTGCTTGCCTAGCATGCACAAGGTCCCAGGTTGAATTCCTGGTACTGCCAAAATAAGAAACAAAGAAAAAGAAAAATGTCATGCCAGATATGGTGGTACACACCTGTAACCCCAGCCCTTAGGAGACTAACACAGGAGGATTATGAGTTCCAGGCCAGCCTGGACTACATAGGGAGACCTAGTCTGAAACATAAGAAAAGAATAGAAGAAAGAAAAGAAAAGTATCTGTTCAAGTCTCTTGCCACTGCTTAAAATTGTGTTGTTTTCTCTTTTTTATTGGGGATATTAACCCCTTATCTGGTACACTGTTTGAAGATATTTTATCCAGTTCTTTAGGTTGTCTCCCACCCTGTTAATTGTTTGCTTGAGGTAGGTCCTTTCTTGTTGGGAGGGTCTGATGTCTGGGCAGCAGGGTTTTGAGAGATAAGGATGGTTTGGGAAAGTGGAAATAGGGATGGGGGTCAGTAACAGCCCAAGGCCAGATTAGTTTGAAGTCCTACTGGAGAAGAGATACGGGGATGGGACCTGACAAGGAGGTGAGAGTGGAGTCCTATACCAGGCTGAGGCCCGGAAATGGAAACGTGGATGGTCAGTAGTGAACTGCCCCATTTTTTAGAAGGCCCTGAGTAGCACAGGAAATAGTCAGAGCTGACAGTTCCACAGATTTGCAGGGGAAAAATTTTTTTAAATAAAGGAAAAAATACAGTTTGGGGACAAATTTTTGACCAGTTCTTGACTGCTCAGATTTTTATTTTATTTTATTTTATTATTATTATTTTTTGGTACTGGAGATAGAACTTGGGACCTTGTGCTTTCAAGGCAGGCACCGGAACCACTGAGCTAAATCCTTGGCCCATTTTGTTTATTTTTGAGACTGGGTTTCACTTCGTGATCCAGGCTGGTCTGGAACTTGCTCTGTAGCCCAGGTGGGGTTCAAACTCAAGATCCTCCTGCCTCAGCCTCCTGAGTGCTGGGATTATCGGTGCCCACCACCATGGGCATTGATTGGTGTTCTGTTTTTGTTTTTGTTTTTGTTGGTGTTCTGGTTTTTACTCCATAGAATTAGCAGTTATACAAGGCTAATAATTAATAATGCTCGATGTCTTACATAGTGTAGAAAGAGTATCCCTGGATGGACATTGGTTAAAAAATTCCCAGGTAACATTTCCTTAGAATTTAAAATGCATATATTGGGCCAGTGAAGTAGAACAGACCTGTGATCCCAAGCACTCAGGAGGCTGAGGCAAGAGGATCGCTATAAATTCAAGGCTAGTTTGGACTGCATAGTGAGTTCAAGGCCAGCCTGAACTACAAAGCAAGACCTTGTCTCAGAAAACCAACCAGCCGGGCCGGGGATTTAGCTCAGTGGTTCCGGGCACCTGCCTTGCAAGCACAAGGTCCCGAGTTCGATCCCTGGTAAAACAAACAAACACTTTTCTTAATAAGTAAAATTTTTAATGCATATATTCTCTGACCTAGGATACTTTTGAGGGGGGGGTACAGTACAGGGATTGAACCCAGATCCTTTTTTTTTGTTTTTGTTTTTTGGTACCAGGGATTGAATTTAGGACCTTGTACTTGGAAGGCAGGTGCTGTGCCACTGAGCTAAATCCCCAGCCCTTGTTTGTGTTTTGGGGGGTTTTTTTGGTACCGGGGATTAAACTTGGGTCCTTGCACTTTCGAGGCAGGCAGCAGAACCACTGAGCTAAATCCCCAGCCCGGTTGGTTGGTTTTCTGAGACAAGGTCTTACTTTGTACTTCAGGCTGGGCTTGAACTCACTATGTAGCCCAGGGTGCCCTCAAACTCAAAGCAGTCCTCCTGCCTCAGCCTCCCAAGTGCTGGGATTACAGGCATGTGCCACCACGCCCGGCTCCTTTTTTTTTTTAACGTTAGGTTTTTTCTTGGAAAGTGGATCAAATGGTTTAATGGCTGTAATTAAGACTACGCTAATGGCCATCATTTGTTTAGCCAGGAGCCCGGCTCTATGCTAAAAGCTTTGCATATTCTACCTTTAGTTAATATATTGCTTTTTGGAGGGAGGAGTGTTCCTGGGGATTGAGTCCAGGGCTTTTGCACTGAACTAACTCCTCAACCTTATTTATTTATTTATTTATTTATTTATTTATTTATTTATTTATTTATTTATAAAATTTGAGACAGAGTCTCATTAAGTTGGTAAATTGCCCGGGCTGGGCTGGAACTTGGGATCCTCCTGCCTAACCTTTTCATCTTCTGATAAGGGCGCCATCCCTGTTGGGTTAGAGTCCTAGTCTTATGGCCTCATTTTACCTTTATCACCTCAGCTCCTGCCTTTAAGTACAAGCACTTTGGGAGGGAGAACTTCAACAGAGGAATTTCTGGGAGGCCCAAGTCCTCAATCCGTAACAAAACAGCACTAGTAAAAAGATTAATGTGCATGCACAAAACAACAAAATACATTCCTAGACAGTGTTATAATGAAATGTTGAAATTTACTTTTTTGTTATCCAAGTAACAAGATGTGTATTGTGAAGGGGGCAGAAAATATAGCTAGGCAAAACAGAAAATTAAAATTGTCCAGTGTCTTGCCATACAGAAGTAACTGGTTTGGGTTTTGTTTTTAGTTTTGGTTTTTTGTCTGTTTTGTGGCAGTCCTGGCGATTGAACCCAGGACCTAGGGCCTGCTGTGAAGTGCTCTACTGCTGAGCCCCACTCCCCAGCCCTGTGGTAACTGCTCTCAGTGTTCTGGTGATTCCTCCTTTCAGATCTTTTTGTGTGTGTGTGTTTGGACCCTAGAGATGTATGTGTCTATCTGCATGCTCACACACGTGATCTCTCAATATACATCTTTTAAGTATCCCGATAAAATATTTGTGCTTTTCAGGCAATATATTAATGTGGATATATTGACACTGATATGGTAGTATGGACATTTATAACTTCATGGTGATCAGAATAGGTGTCACAAGCATGGTGTGAAGTAGGAAATCATGAATTTGAGGCTGGTCTGGGATACATAGCAAGTTCAAAAAAAAAGAAAAAATACAGAAGCAGGTAGTTCAGGCCTCTAATCTCAACACTCTGGAAACCTGAGGCAGGAGGATCACAAGTTTGTTTTCTTTTTGAGACAGGGTCTTCCTTTATAGTTCAGCCTGGCCCTGAACTCACTATGAGGCCCACACTGGCCTCGAACTTGCAGCAATCCTCCTGCCTCAGCCTCCTGAGTGCTGGGATCACAGGCGTGTGCCACCATGTCTGGCTAAGTATCACAAGTTTTGAGCACATGGACAACTTAGCAAGTTAGACCCTGTTTCAAAAATAAAAAAGAAAGAACTGGGAGTTTAGCTCAGTGTGAAGGCCCTGAGTTCAGTCCCTAATACCAGGAAAGAAAAACCAAAGAGGAAACAGCAGTAGACGGAGTAGCAACACCTGTGCTTACTTTCTCTCAAGGATCTGTCATGGGAGGAGACTGGTACACTGGCCCAGGAGTAGAGATTGTACTGACATTCTGTGCTGTTCTCTTTTCAGGAGTTCTCAGCTCTGACAGAAGTACTGTTCCAGTTCCTAACAGAGCCCAAGGAGGTAAAGTATTTTGTGCTAAGGAGAGATCTGAGCATGGGCCTGTGCACCCGAGGAGCTTAGAGAGCGAAGGCCTGGTTTGTGCTGTTCCCTCTTCAGGTGGAGAGGTTTCTGACTCAGCTCTCTGAATTTGCCACCGCTAACCAGATCAGTCTTGGCCCCCTCAAAAGCATCATGATAAGCCTCCTTCTGGTTCCAAATGGTGAGTAGCCTTCAGAGCAGCTGTGGCGGGAGCTGTTACCTGGACATTCCTTTATTCTGGGGGATCATCCAAATGTGCCCTGGGCACTGCCCCAGAGCCCTGGCCAGCAGGAAAGTATAGTGTCTTTGGACCCCTGAATCCATGGATACAGCCAGCCAAGGCTGAAAATATTTGAAGACTTTTTTTCCTCATTATTCCCTAAACAGTACAGTGTAACTACTATCTATTCAGCATTTACAGTGTATTGGGCATTATAAATCATCTAGAGGTGGTTTAAAGCAAATGGGAGCTGTGCGTAGGTTATGTGCAGACACATTTTGCATTTTGTGTCTGCATTTTGGTATCCTAGGGGGTCCTGGACAGTCCCTCAGAGGAAGCCAAGGGAGAACTCTCTGAGGCAACAGGGGCACAGTGCAGAGCAGCACAGTGCAGCGCTCAGTCTGCATCCTGGCCTCAGTCCCCAGGTTATTCTTGTGTCTTCCACATAATAGATGGAAATGGAGGGTAATCATTTAGACATCCCCTCCCTCCCCGATTGAACCTAGGGAGTGCTGAGCTACATCCTCAGCCCTTTTTAGGTTTTTAAATTTTGAGATAGGGTCTCACTAAGTTGCTCAGGTGGGGCTCAAACTTGTGATCCTCCTGCCTCAGCTTACAGAGTAGCTGGGCCTCTAGGTGTATGCCACTGTGCCCAGCCACATCACGAACTTTTAAAGCAGTCTAGAGTTCTAGAGAGTCAAGTGACAATCCCAGGCTGAGGGTTCGCTCAGCGGTAGAGCACATGCAGAGCACGTATGAGATCCTGGCCTCTATCCTTGGCACCACTGGAAAAACAGAAGGTGAGAGTCAAGGAGGGTTTTCATGCGGTGTGTGTGTGTGTGTATGTTTGTGTCTGGCTAAGGATCTAATTCAAGGCCTTGTGCATGTTAAGCAGGTCCTCTACTGGGGAGCTCTACTCCCAGCCCTGGAGCCTTATGTATTGATAGATCAGGTAGCTTTTAGTACTATGTCTCAGAATCACATTATGAGATAAAACTTTCCTTCACTTAAAGTGAGGATCTAAATCATCTCTGACTAGTTAATGTTGGGAAGCTTTTCAGATTCTCAAATTAAGGTCTCTGGTTTGGTTTGGTGTACTTCTCAGTTAGCTCTCAATAATTTGTTTCTTTTACTTTCCTTTTCTGAAGGGTCTTCTGGCTTGTAGTCTTTATTTCTTTTTGTTTGTTTGTTTGCCTTGTTTTGTTTTGCTTTGTTTTTTTGAGACAGAGTCTCACTGTGTATTTCAAGCTGGCCTTGAATTCACAGCCTCAAATTCAAAATGATCCTCCTGCATCAGCCTCCCGAGTGCTGGGATTACAGGGCTGGTAGTGAGTTCAAGGCCAGCCTAAACTACACAGCGAGACCCTGTGTCAAAAATGCCCCCCAAGTGGGCCGGGGATTTAGCTCAGTGGTTCCAGCACCTGCCTCAAAAGCACAAGGTCCTGAGTTCGATCCCCAGTACCAAAAAAAAAAATGCCCCCCAAAAACGATACTCCTCTTAACATCTACCAACCAGTGGCCAAATCATATCATTTAATCTACATCCACCCCTTCATACTGCTCTCCAAACTGGATTATTTTATTTATTTTATTTTTATTAGTATATCTTTGTTGTACACAAAGATCACATTCATCACAGGAAGTCGGTACACATACATAACACATCCTAATTATTTTTCCTTCCCCTCTCCCTCTCCCTTTCACTGTCTCTAGTACCCCAAAGTGGATATTTTAAAGCAAATGTCAGACATATCTTTTCATCTCATCTTGTTATCTTCCTCCCCAGATAACCACCATGCTATTAGCGTATCTGGAAGGAAAATATGCAGCAAGTGTTCACAATTCCTTTATTGTCTTCCTGCATTGTGTCTGTGGTTGGCTATTCCCTATCACCCAGATAAGGCCCCAGATTCCTTTGGTGGCTGGGTGGCCCTCTTGTGCTTACTCACTCAGCTACCTCAGTGGTGGGAGACCTTGAGCCAAGTTAACCTCTCTGAGAATTGGTTTCTTCAGCCATAAAATGAACCTGGGAGAGCACATTGTTTGTGATCATTGTTAGAAGGATGCATAAAGACAATAAATGTAGGCATTCACTTCAGGGAGTGGTAGCTGCCCTGCTCCTGATATTATGATTGTCATTACCATTATGTGTTCTTTCCTGGATACATTACAGATAACTTGGCAGTAGGTACAATGTTTAAACTTGGTTTTATTTCAATACTTACCAAGATATTTGGCACTTGTGGGTATCAGTAACTGCTTTTTTTTTTTTTAAACTGGGGATTGAACTCAGGGCCTTCCCACTGAGCTACATTCTCAACCCTTTTTTATTTTTTTATTTTGAGACAGGGTCTCACTGAGTTACGGAAGGTGGCCTTGAACTTGAGATCTTTCTATCTCAGCCTCCCAGATTGCTGGAATTATAAGCATATGTCACCATGCCATTCTGATTTTTTTTTTTTGGTACTAGGGATCGAACTTGGGTCCTTGTGCTTTCGAGGAAGGCGGCGGAACCACTGAGCTAAATCCCCAGCCCTGATTTTTTTTGGGGGGGGTACCAGGGATCAAACTCAGGACCTTGCGCCTTCAAGGCAGGCTCTGGAACCACTGAGCTAAATCCCTGGCCCTTTTTTTTTTTTTAATGAAAAAATGATAATAATTCTTTCCT